TGGGGCTCAAATGCTTGAGCTTTGCCTCTTCTCTAGCTTGACTCTACCTTCATTCTTCCCAGCCATTGACCCTGCTGACGTGACAGCTCGACAGGGACAGTTCCATGATGAACATTCACTAAAGGAGACAAGGCTTAAGAAAGGGGTTTTCAATTCAGCCCGTAGCAATCCCTACCAGCATCTTGGTACCTGTATTCAGGGGCTGGGCTGGGGCGCTGCCCCCCAGTGGGAGCTGACACTGCTCAGCAGGCCCTGTGTGAGGAGGGCAGCCTGACAGGCTCTTCCATGCTCCTATAAAGTAGGCTCTAGAATTTTTTCAAAGCATTTGGGTTGAATTTAATAGTTGGTTTAAATGCACCACTTGAAATGGCTGCATGCAGCCTACAGCAAGCTCAGAGACCCGATTCCCAGCCTAGCAGGAAAGCAGATTCCTACCGGCCACCCCGCATCACACTGAATAGCCTGGGGTTTCTCCACTGGACGGCACATTGCTGAGTTTGAGCTCCCGATGTGCTCGTCGGTGTGAGGAGGAGCAGCGAGCAGATCTCTGAGCTCACAAGGGAATTTGTGCTCTTCTCTGCCCACCAGTCTCAACTTCCTCAACCACTGCCTCAAGGCAGGAGCAGCTTCCTGCCCTGCAGCCCTGGCTCCCCCACCTCTCCTTTGCAGCTCCAGCATCCACCTCACACCGAAACTCTCCTCCTCGGCCTGCGAATCTGCCTCACGCCATCAGCGGGTGCATCAGTAACATCTCTGCCTCGTCAACTCTCGCTCTCTCTTTTCCTTTGCCCACCCCCTCAGCTACTCTCCGTAAGGAGCTCATGAGAGAGATGCTATGCATGAGGAAGTTGTGTTGTGGGGTTATTGCCTTTCACAGCTGGGTCACACAACCTACTCTTTGGTACCACTGGGTGGGGCAGGAACACACACACACTGTGTGGAGGGGAATGTACCCGGTATTCAGAGACATGCCCTCTCTCCAGCTGGAGTGAGAGTCCCACTCTTCACTCACCAAACCCCTCTCGGCAAGGGAGCCACCACACGAATACTTTGCTGCTCTCTCGAATCCAAGGAGAGATGCCCATGATGCAGCCGTGCCATCAACAGGAGGCCCTGCTACTACCCAGGAACTGTGCCACAACATGGCAGCCACGGAAGCACCTCCCCCAGAGAGGTAGAGGAGAAGGAATGTCACCCCTGCCCCCCCCCCCACACACACAGTCCCAAAGAGGGCTACACATTGTCTGTATCTTCCCACAAACCTCTGTGGTCCGGCACCAATCAGTCTATTATGGGGGGGGGGGTCAGCTCAAAGCAGCCTAGAATCAAGAGTGGGGATCTTGGGAAGGGTGCAGCCCACCATTCGTATCACACACGGCCCTGGAGCCCGTTTGGATGTGGAGAGGACACCCTGAATGCTGGGGTTCATGCTCGACGCATGTTCCTAAGCACGTGTCAGGGAAAGGACAGCCCTGAGATGCTGCTCTGAGTCCCCAGTGCCGTGTGCTGGAGCGGAGCGCAGCATTTACCTAACACCTTTCCCTGCGTCTCTGTCCAACGGGGAAAGCAGCAAGCTGAGGAATTTGGTGTTTTTTATTGTAAGGACTCAAATCCAACAGTGTGATAAATGCATCTGAGCTACAATTAGGAAGATCTATAGCATCAGAATGCGAAGGTCTGGGCAGCGTGGTGAAACGCGGGCTCTCCAGAGCCCAGCTATGTTTCCCATTATGTAACCCTGGTCATGGGCAGACAGCCAGACTCCAAATGAAAAAGAGACTCTGGCTTGGCACTGGTTCTATTTTCCTATCCTCATTCGGGGTCAGTGCAGTGTCATACAGCTGCAGAGAAAACTCCGGGGATTAAACCTGGGAAAGACTCCAAGACCAGGACCCGGGTTCAAGTACCAGCTGAAAGCAATAAACCAACTGCCACAGCTGGGCTGAGTTTAGACGTTCTCAAAGACCCCTGACTCTGTCACTTGTGGAGAACTAGGAATCACGAATGTGGAGAATACAGCACGAGCAGAGGCACTGGGACGGGCAGGCCACCGGCCTAGGCCCCAGGCTCTGGATGAGCCTGGACAAGCCGCCTCACCAGCCCAAACCCCACCATGAGCTAGGACGGGCTGCTGGGCTGCATCTGGCCCCGGGATGAGCCGCCGTGCCGGTGC